AACTATTTTACACCAAACCAGTGATAATATATTTAAATAAGTACCATTTATGTTTCTATCAAAAAGATTTAGGGAAAAGGTAATGTAAGTCCACTGCTGTTTATCTGAATTTGCAAGCCACAAATTGACGTTTAACTATGATTATTGCATGGCCATTTTCATGTGAAATATTAGTGCTAGGCATTTCACACTTACCAATGACCACCCCAATAGTACCATCTCTGAACCATGTAAGCACCTCAGAATAGCCAAAGCTTTTATGGTTTGGTAGATAGCAGTATGGCGAAAGCGTCGTTTTTGGGTGTGGTCAGTTTCGGACGTTTCGTCCCGGATTGGGGTTCGGGCAGCATTACCATGTTGACCGTCATGGTCAACTTGCCCTAAAACAGTTGAGATTATCTGTCCTAAATGAAATGCATACAAACTCATATACAGGTCCTAGACTACCACCGCTATGGTCTAGTTTAACATCCAAAATAATAATGTCCATCTACTCTTGTGTATTCTTTGCTGGTGACATCGCAACCAATCCTGGTCCTGCTCCTCCATCTAAACAACTTCCTATCAAATGTGCCACAATAAACGCCAGAAGTTTGAAAAGCATCCACAAAGATGTCACCACTAATTCGATCATCTGCAATGTTCAAAGATTTCAAGACTTCGTTTACGGAGAAAATTTGGATGTCGTATGTGTAAATGAGACATGGCTCAATGAAAACATAAGTAACTCTGAGATCTTAAACTCTGACTATAACATCTTCAGGAAAGACAGAGTTGGACGAAATGGCGGCCGGGGGTCTTGGTTGCAATCAAATCAAGTTCGTTTAGCTCGGTAAGGAATTCGTCTCAAACCTGGATGACATAAAAGAATTAGAGATTGTTTCAGCAATAGTAAAAACTACTTCAAACCAAAATCCTCTTCTCTTCTTGCTACAGACCACCTGACGCTGAACGAACTTGGACCAGCATACTCAACACATTCCTGGATCAAGTTTGCGATCAGTTTAAAAAGTAGTGATATCCGGTGATTTTAATCTACCCAACATCTCGTGGGATGCAACATTGCGAATGAAGTGAACTTTGTTGACATACTTGATGACCACTATTTCACTCAAGTAAACACCATCCCTACTCGTGCCAACAAAATTCTAGATCTTGTTATCGCAACTGTTCCAGAATTAGCCTCACTGTGTCTGAAGTACTTTGCCCAGAGACAACTGAAATAATGCCGGATCACTCAACAGTCCTTTACGAGTTTTCTGAGAATATTTAAGCAAAACCAAAAGTTGAGAGGTATGTCTATAACTGCAACGTTGGTGACTTTGAAGGACTGCGACGTGCATTGAACGCAATCAATCTGACGTCTCTCGTTGAACATGCCATAGATATCAACATCGCCTGGCAACAATGGAAAGATGCGTTTTTAACAGCCGTTTCACATTATATACCAATGAAAAAGATCAAAGGACGCAATCCAGCTCCATGGGTTAATGGTACTATTCTTAACGCCATAAGGAAGAAAGACTCAGCTCGGCAAAAACTTAAGGCTTCTCCAAACAATTTTCGACTACAGCAACAATTCAAAACCTTGCGATCTGAAGTCAAGCATATGTTGCGGAAAAGTCGGGAAAAGTTTTTCAACAATTTAGGGACTGACATTAAACATAATCCAAAGCGTTTCTGGTCGGTATTGAAAAGAAGCTCAAAGACAAGAAACACCCCTGACATCATTTCATCCGCAAACAACGTCAACACACCTGGTGCAAATACAACACAACGAATGGTGGCCGATAATCCAGATGGTATAGCAAACATGTTCAACCACTACTTTGCGTCAGTATTTTCAAGAAAGAAAGCTTACTAGGAAGGCGCCACTGAGTCTGACGAGCCAATCGTGACTGATTTAACATTTAGTGAAGCCGAAGTTTCTTATGTGTTGAGATCACTTGATTCAAGCAAAGTAACAGGTCCTGATGATATTCCTGCAAGACTACTGAGGGAAACAGCAGATGTGATAACACCTTCCCTGTGCAAGCTGTTCAATATATCAGTTATTTCTCAGATATTTCAGGAACAATACCAGAGGAATGGAAATTGGCTAATATTGTGCCCGTGCACAAGAAAGGTGACAAAGAGTATGCTGAGAATTATCGCCCAATTTCCCTATTATGTATTACATCAAAAGTTCTGGAACGCTGTGTCCTAAACAACATCAAAACTCGTTTGTATGATGCAGTTAACATGTGTCAACATGGGTTCATGGCTGGGAGATCTTGCATATCAAACCTCATCGACACTCTCCACTACGTTGGATCGTGTTTAGACAGTGGAGCACATATAGACATGATTTATATGGATATGTCAAAGGCATTCGACAAGGTCGATCATGAAGTATTAATACGAAAGCTGCAGAAAGACTATATGGTTTTGGAAGTAATCCCTTCAAATGGTTTCGTTGCTCTCTAGAAAATCGTAAACAACGCGTAACAGTGTTAGGAGCAACGTCAGACCTACTTCCTGTCACGTCTGGTGTACCGCAAAGTTCAATACTTGGTCCAGCATCGTTCCTCCTCTACGTCAATGATCTGCTAAGCAATGTGAAGTCAAGTCGTGTTGCAATGTTTGCGGACGATACCAAAGTCTTCAACAGACTTCAAGGCAATACAATCGCATGATGCAGTAAAGTTACAGGAAGATATCACCAACTTGGGGATCTGTTCATCTGAATCTGGCTTACAATTCAACGAAGCAAAATGCAAAGCACAATCCATTACCCGTAAAACCAATCCAATCCCTACCACCTATTTTATGAATGACGCTCCACTAGCATCAATTAGTTGATGTCTGGATATCTCCCGATTTGACATTGAACAAGCATGTCAACGAACAGTGTGCACACGCAAATAAAATGCTTAGCTACATCAGACGGAACACACGAACAATTGACAGCATTAAAACAAGAAGAACCATTTACCTGTCACTGGTACGATCACATCTTGGTTACGCGACGCAAGTCTGGACACCTCAATCTATCGAACTTCTGCTCAAACTAGAAAAACCTCAAAGACGTGCAACAAAATATATTCTTAATCTAACAATTTATCAGTTCAGTAAATTACAAATCCAGATTGCAAACTCTCCATCTACTGCCCATATGTTACTGGCATGAATACCTTGATATGATTCATTTAAGTAATTCATGGCATTACCAGCTCGTCCTTTGCCTTGCACGCCAAGACAACAAGACATACAAGATCGTCCACTAACACGAAAGGTGTAAAGTACGAAGTCCCGCGGTGCAAAACAACCTACCAAAGATCATACTGGATAAGAACCATAAGAACATGGAACACATTGACGGTCATACTTGACTTGAGTATGGAGAACTTCAACACATTCAAGTCTGTAATGCGAGAGTATACTACCATGCATACTGCATTAAAGAACACATACGATTGTGGTGATGTACGAACTTTTAAAACGATTTGCCCGAAATGCAATAGAGCAAGGACTTTAACGAACTCGATGAACTGTTGTTTTTAGTCTCCATGGTTAATTGTTATTTGTATTATTGATATTTGTCTCTTAACGTTTTGGGCCCGCAGTATTGGTTTCAGGCTGTTGCGGATACCCAACCATCAACTCAGTTTATGTCATTGTATTATGTATGTATAGTTGTGTATGTGTGTGTGTATGTTTCTGTACAGTAGTAATGGGAAAGCAATTAAATTAAATTAGAAAAACAATGTCGTTTCCATGATACCAAACCATAGTGTTGGCTGAAAACATTCACCCAACATTGTCAATGGGGGGAGGGAATAGTAAGAAAAGACCGAATTATATGAGTGTAGATGTGTCAAAATGAGAAAAAATGTTTGAAATACGTAAAGTCTCATTATTTTTGCATGTGATTGTAGAGCAGGGTCACCACAACAGCGCATATGCCAATTATTGTGGGCCCTTTTTACCTACCCCACCCTGTAAACTTTCCCTGTGGGAGGAAACCAGAGTACAAGAAAATCCACGACTTTCAGCAGAGCGTTGACTTTTTACTCTTTTCACATGAGGACCGAGTTCGAGTTGAGAAAGTTCTGAGATTTGAACCTGCGACCTTAGAGGTGAAAGGCAAGTGCGCCATTATCTATTGTTTACATTGCATTCGACGCGACCGAAATTTGACGTATAAAACAGGCCTTAGAAGTGTTTTATATGTCGAATAATTAACAATTATTCACCGAAGTGGAGGTGAATATCCTTGCACTACTCACCGAGGTGAATAATTATTGTTTTAGCATATGCCACAACAAAACAAAAATGACCAAAAAACAACGGACATATTTTTAAAACAATTTCAGTCCTCATAATATTGTAAACAAAACAGTATTTACACGCTTAATAGGCAATTCCAGCTTTTAGATTATGCGTGCAGGGGACGATGGCAAGTAAGGTATCACATTGCTGATTACGCTGAAAAAATAAAAATGGTGGCCGTGTAAACACGGAGTGATAGCTTATACTTGTAAATATTGAAATATTTCGGTTGTTTCGATAGTTTTTATTGAAAATTTTAAGCATAATCAGCAATATGATACCTTACTTCCCATCATTCCCTGCAGGCATAAACTAAAAGCTGGAAATGCCTATTTTAGTAATTTTATTCATTAGAAATAGCTTTAAGAATACCTGTACCTCTACATACTGTCAGTTAAACAAAACGTTGCGGGCCTGCGGCTTTCTTCGTGTTTGGCGCAACCGCAGCTTCGTTTAGTTATTTTAGTTACAAAAATTCCTCGTCTGTAACCGCGGAACGAAACGGGAAGAAATTTTGTTTTTGTCCGGAGGTGAATAGTGCAAGGATGTCAAGGATATCCGCGGAGCTGAGAAACCAATCAACAACTATCCACCACCTCAGTCCCCACGAATATATGCTAATATTTATTATATATAAGTATAGAGATTTCTGCACAGTATCAGTTTAAGATTGGTATGATAGTCGGGCAAATTTTACTTAGTGTTGGGCTGTATGTCGGGCAAAGCAATTGAGGTCATTGGAACGTAACGGCGGGGCTAGGGGGCTATAGCTAGCCAGTCAATTCGTTTGAATCTCCATTGTCATAATTAATTGGTAACAGACTAATAACACAGAGTGGATAATAATAGGATAGAGTTGACTTTGTATAATTGTATGGTGTGATATATATTAAATATAAAAGACAAGCACGAGTTATTAGACAAAATTAGAAATCCAATAATATTTAGAAAATTCCAAATAGTTTTTAGAAAACAATTTGCGTAACATCCGTAAAAACCTTATTTTTAGGCTGCCTAATTATTTGATGATGTTCTGAGAAGTATACCTACAAAATTTCAGGAAACTATATTGGGCGAAGGAAATTCTAATAAATTTCTGTTTAGTCAATATGACACAGTACTGTTACCATAGCAACACACATTCGTCTTTACGGTATGCGCCAGTGTATGTAACGACGATAACGGACAGCTGCCGTGTGAATTATATAACAAAACAACCTGAAAAATATAAGCAGAGTTTTGACATTTCGAGCGAAGGCCCAATAATGCCGATATAATGAGCCCAAGTTGAAGCCCAACCAAAGAGTTCAGGTCGTTTGCATTTTAGTTTGACATCTGAAACAGGCCTTACGCTACACCCTGTAAGGTGGTAAACGACCTAGACAACTGCTATCTCCTTATTCAGTTTTTATGAATTTGTACGCTAAGGTCTAGGGAATTGTTCTCTTCGTCAACAAGTAAAGAAGGGAATTCTTTTGGCATCATTCTTGGCGGTTCATAATCCGGATTACAGCGATATTTTTCGAAGTCTCTGACTCCAATGCTGCGAAGATAGTCCTCATCAATTAAACACTTCCCATTCAATCTACAACAGCAAAATGAAAAGTCATTACCACAGCATTTAGATATTTACAGTACAGAGTAAAATAAATAATTATAGTACATGTACAAACACCGCATATTTGCTTTTGTTTAACAGTAGTTGGCTTTGGCCTTTGCCATAACTCCTATATATTTCCTGTATAGCATTTTGTACACATACAAGTAAAACCGCAGTCTGCAATTTTCGCATGAAATTTTAACAATATGACAAGATGAAATATCTTACTATATTGCAAATACCACCATAAAAAGGGTAATAAGAATCAAGTTGGCAAAATACAAACCTAGTTGTGACCGTGACGTCGTTGGACAAAGATGACGGCATGCACGCTGTTTGTAGTCAAAGACAAAATGTGTCCAAAGAAGACACATTGTGATACAGAAAAGATGTACAAATAAGACTAATTTCGTTATATGTGCCGCGTTTAGAAATCAAGAACTCAAGATATGCTTGGGTTTCACTACGGCAGAATGCAGTGAATCTGACGGGGGGTCAGCCTCAAATGCATTGAGGCTTATGCTGTACTGGAGTGAGAAAATGATACGAAATTCCACGTATTTGCTACAAAACACAAGGCTAATACATAAAACGAACAATTGACTCACTCTGATAACTGTGTTTTAGAGTTGACCGCCCGTCACTTTTGTGACGTCATATGAAACCCAAGAATTTAATCTATTTTTGCAAGTCACATAAACGATTTACAAACAAAAATAATTTTCAATAATGCATTCCAACAACAGAATATGAAAAATTTATACACCAATTAACATTAATTTTCGCGCCTCTGGTAGAGGTGTTATACTGTAAACCAAGGCCGGATTTTGGTGGAAATGCTGGGGGCAGGTGGAAATATATTTAGGGGAGGTCAGGGGCTATATTCTAGTCCTAACATTCCATGGGGGCTGTGGGCTAGATGCTGCACCTGGTGCAGTGTCTAGCCCTCAACCCCCATGGAATGTTAGGATTAGAATATAGCCCCTATTAAAGTCAACTACATGACATATGCATGTGCTGTACATATGTATCAGTGTATTATTTTATGAATTATGACTGTACGACTCATCCAATATTGCTCTTCATTAATACATTGCTACAAAGTGTATTTCAAAATTAATTAAAAGGGCACTTAATTGATACAGCAGTGATGAATAGTTATTAGTTTCCCAAGGGGAGGTGCGTGACCTTTCAGGGGAGATGCAAACAATCTCAGGGGAGGTGCAAAACGCAATCCAGCCATGCAGTAAACCTACAGTACCTTGGGAAATGCCTGTTGTTTGGAAGTTGACATGATTACAGTAGTTACTAGCTATTGAAAAGTCAATATTTAGTCTACTAAGCTGTACGTATGATAAAAAAGCCAGGCATGCCAGAATACCTGTTTGTACTTTCTCCTGCAATAGCTAGACATGCATCTGCAAAAATATCGGGCTCTCTCATTAATTTTGATTCCACTCCAAGAACGGTTGTGACATGAGATTTGATTACAGTAGCTGGCCATAAAGCAGTGATAGACACTCCTGTACAAAGAATAAGAGGCAGAATCATTCAGTTTCAAGAATATCTGAACCCAAATATGTGGCAACATATGCAGCAATATATGCAGCAACCAACCAAGTCACTCATGCAGCAACATACATGCACTAATGCATTGCACATGTGATATCAACATTGCATTATTGTACTGTATCATGCCCCCATTATGCATGTGTAATAAATTGTGCATTCAGACTGACATGCAAGCATATTAAGTTTGTGACTCACTGTGCACTCCTAGTGAAAATCCCTGGAAAGCAGATGGCCATGAATAAATACAACTATATTCACTAGTTCAATTACCATAAACAAATACACTGAGAGTGAATTTGGATTTAATGGCAACTTTAATAATCAGACCATTAAACAGTGAGAAAACCTGTAATGCAGCACCCAATCCCCCCAAAGTTATCTTCCTCTCCTACCTTTAGATCAGTCATTTAGTGGATGTTTCTATAGAGGTAAGCTAGCCTCAAGAGCCAACTACGAAAACTCTACTCAAGATGGATTTAATTTGTTTTTACATGTGATGTGAAAACACATATATGGCCATCTACTGATTGTGCTGTGCACACAGTCATTATGGCTGATATGCAAGTGAACTAATTACATACAAATGTACACTGTACTGTACAACCTTTCCCTTGTGAGTTCTGTAAATAATTAGCGTGTCTGATCATGTCTGACCATAACACATTAAGTTGGTCTGATATTTGGTCATGTGGACTGGCTTTCCTAAAGATTATATCAGGAATGGATATATTCTGGGTGGGTGAAGAGCCAGAGGGGTGCTATTTTTCACAATAATAAAGCAAAAAATAATAGAGATAAAATGAGATACAGTAATTTGAGCAATAACATCAATGATAAGCGAACTGTGAACAACTCATTACAATTGAAATACAGTGTGTCGATGGGCGGGCGGCACACATGACGGCAACACAACTCGGCACCAGAGCTGGCAGAGCACCCACCTTCCTACAAGATCATGCTGGATCCATATATAATATACATGTGAGCCCACATATATACTGTAATAATATTCATGCCTCTGCTGAAATGGACTTGCCCCAAAATATTTACCAGTTCCACATAATTCAGTACTAAGGCCTTGAACCAAAATTGACATTCCAATTTTACTTATTGCATATGGAGTTTTTCCTTTGAAAAATCTTGAATATATTGGAGGTGATACCATAATAATTTTCCCATGTCTGTTTTCTAAAAAGGGCGGCAGCACAGCCTGCGTTAATGCATATGCTCCCTTAATGTTTACATCTAGCATCAAATCAAATCTCTTCACCGATGTATCTATGACTTTATTCCACAATATTGCTCCAGCATTGTAGATAACCACATCCAAAGAGCCAAAGTGGGAAATACATGTCTCTACTGCATTGTTAATATCTTCAACTTTTCTAACATTACATTCAATAGGTATTGCACGCAATCCCAAGTGTTCGATATCCTTTGCTGTAGTAAAAATTGTACCAGGTAACTTGGCAGTGTGTTCTGTTGTTCTAGAAGACACACCAATGTTATAACCTGCCTTCGCCAATGCTAAACAAATAGTCTTTCCAATGCCCCTAGAGGCTCCAATAACCAAAGCAGTAGGACTTGTTGGCGGCATGCTCTGAAAAGCTATAAGAATAGAAATTAAAGAATCTGAGCGAGTTGGAAGAAACTCTTTGTTCCAGGAATGAAAAACATTTCAAAATTGGAATTGCGCTAGATGATATTAGGGACGGACCATTAAATATCTGGGGGGGGGGGTGTTTGAGCAAATACCAAAAAAAAATTCGCGCACAGAAAAAATCCAGGATAAAAATATCGTGTACAACAAAGCTATTGAAAATAAAATCGAGCAAGAAGTAGAGCTAAATTTTAAAATCGTAACACAAATTAATTTAAAGCATTGAATTAGTCGTTCCCGACTCTGTGGTCCCGACAATCAAACAATTTATGACCTCTCCCCCCTCGTCAACGAACTTTCCGGGAAAAAATTTTTAGGTTATCTTTAAAAAAAATATCTTGCAAAGGAATGTTATAGAAAAAAAATCGTACCAACAGTTGAGGTATGAAAAAAATCATGCACAATAAAATTGTCCACCCCCCCCCCCAAATATTTAATGGTCCGTCCCTTATAATATAGCATTTGTAAGTTCTGAACGCTGATTGGCTAAGATGACTAAGTAAGACTCAATGTCAACACGAAAAATTTGTTTATATTTGTGCTATATTTGATATAAGGGCTGTTTATATGAACCCGGCTACTGCTGTGGCCGGGGTGAGTTGTTTGCCGGGCTGAAACGGTATGCTGACGAAAATTGGCGGGGAAAACTTGTTTACGAGTTAACAGTGTAACGTCTGTCACGGAAGTTTAAAACTACTTTGTCGGCAAGATTAATCGAAGAAATAAATCTTTATCAAGGAAAATATCAGTTTCTGTCTTTTATTTTTGTTTTCAATGAAGTTTTTGTTCTAGCCCGGTTGCCCGGGCGGATACTTTACATGGAGAAATTTCAGCCCGGCTTTTCCGTTTGAGTCAAGTGGGATCCCAGCCCAGCTAAATGGGCTAGCTGGCCCGGTTGTCAAGTATAATTGTTTTGTGTTGGAAATTACTATGAAGCCGGGCGCTCCGTTTAAGCGTGCCAGCCCAGCAAACCGGGCTCATGTAAACAGCCCATAAAACAAATATAAAACATTTTTTCCGTATTGATGGGAAACTCGAAATTGTGTGAAAACACTCCGCCCTCCGGGCGTCGAAGCCATGCTTTGTAGGTAGTACCAGTCCCTTTTTGCAAATTCTTTTTGAAAAATACACTTTTTATATCGATACATTTTACCCCTTTTATCAGAGAAGAGATTATTTCGCTGGCGCCTCAAACTGACAAAACGTAACAAAGCAACGGTTTTACTAACACTAACTCTACTCCAAACACCAACTCTGACCCTAATCCTTACCCTAACCCTAACCTAACCCTACTACAAATTCATTTCTAAACCAATCTTCAAGAAAAAAGTTTTGACGAAATGTCATTCTGAGGTTAGCGAAATAGTTGATGCCTTTTAATCTGGGGCATAGGAAGCATCAAAAGATTGGTGGTGGGCACCGGCTTCTAGGGGCACTTTAGGGTATTGAAAAGGGCACCTAAAACTTTTTTCCCGGAAATGTTGGCGACGGGGGGGGGAGAAGAAAAATTTTCCTGTCGTACCATACCGAAATTGCACGTTTTTTACCATTTTTTTTTTAAAAACTTGGAAATTTCCAAACAAAAAGGGCACCTTTGATGTTAATTTAGTATTTACAGCGACATTAGCTTGTACAAAAAGGGCACTTTTCATCACATTTAGTCCTTTGAAAAAAATTGGGGGGCACGTGCCCCCCCCCCCCTCCTGGTTCCTACGCCCCTGCCTTTTATAATTTCTTTTTCATTTTAGAGAATATTAAGATAGTTAATCTTTTCACTTATTAAAATACTTACAATAAACAGAAATCGTTCAACTACTAAAATTACACAACCAAAATAAAATTTCTCAAAAAAAACGCGCGAAAATGTTTGGTTTTTCTGAGTTATGACTATGAGCAATCTCGAACCAGAGCCTGCGTTCCTTATGGCACAGGCCATAATGCCAATACTCTCATTCGAAGATTCGAGATAGCAAGCTTGTTAATTAACACGTTGTAACAATGCTGCTGTTTTATCAATTTGCTGCAAGGTTGTCACTCACAACTTGTTGACAAATTGTTGAATTGCAGGACGATAACAAGTTGTTGAGAACAACTAATTGTAACAAGTCTGTTGAGCTCAACAACCTTGTAG